ATCCCTCTTGAAGTGCGGCGCCCAGAATTGCACGCAGTATTCCAACTGCGGTCTGACCAGCGCCCGATAGAGGGGAAGTATCACCTCTTTGGATCTATTCGTCATGCATCTGCTGATGCACGATAAAGTGCCATTGGCTTTTCTGATGGCTTCGTCACACTGCCAACTCATGTTCATCTTGGAGTCCACTAGGACTCCAAGATCCCTTTCCACTTCTGTGCCACCCAGCAGGTCATTTCCTAGGCTGTAGGTATGCTGGACATTTTTCCTCCTTAGGTGCAGCACTTTGCATTTCTCCTTGTTGAACTGCATTCTCTTGTTTTCTGTCCAACCTGTCCAGGTCTGCTTGCAGCTGTTCCCTGCCCTCCGGCGTGTCCACTTCTCCCCATAGCTTTGTGTCATCCGCAAACTTGGACAGAGTACACTTCACTCCCTCGTCCAAGTCACTGATGAAGACATTAAAGAGTATCGGTCCAAGGACCGAGCCCTGCGGGACCCCGCTGCCCACACCCTTCCAGGTCGAAACCGACCCATCCACCACGACTCTCTGGGTGCAACCCTCCAGCCAATTCGCCACCGACCAGACTGTGTAGTCATCCAAGTCACAGCCTCTTAACTTGTTCACCAGTATGGGGTGGGATACCGTATCGAAGGCCTTCCTGAAGTCTAAGTATACGACATCCACACGGTACAAATAGTCATTGGTGTTGCAGCGAAAAAAAGTAACGCTGACAAACATCCTTACCTCCAGCTTGGGGAGTCCTCAGGACCACATCATCGGGCTCAGGAGATGTCACTGTCAAAGACAGGAAGTGTGAGCAACCCCGCAGGAAACGAGCTGCATGTACAGCCTTTTGTGAGATGGGGAGCACAGCCTTCTCACAAGATTTCCAGAAAGCAAACACTTCACAAGAGCCGGGCTGGAATTTTTTTTTTCTTTATAAGTTAAAATGCATTTTGACATCAAGAGCCCAGTAACAAGTGTATTTTGTAAGAAGGTGGGAAGCAAATATCTGGGCTCTTGATGCTTTTTCACTGCTAATGAAGTACCTCAAACGCTGCTCTGACATGAAGAACGCATAGCTACAGGGTGTAGATGAGCGCACCAGGAAGGCCAAGTTGTAAAATGTAGATAGTCCCTTGCTAGAGCTTTAGCTATCAGGTTAGTAGGGCTGGCGTCACATGCTCAACACTTCAGTGCAGTTATAACACAAGCAGTTTCAAGGGGGAAGTTACAAGTTACGTGTAGACCATATCAATGGCATTTAAACCATAAGCATCTGAACACAGCACTTGTTAACTCACGCTAAGTGCCCTCTAAGCATTTCAAAGTTATGCCATTTCAGGCAAGGGTTAACTCTGGGCAGTGCTACCCAGCTTGTGTTAGGGTAACTTTAGTCAGCTCCACAGAGACAAAACAAGCAATTTGCAGTCCTCAAGCATCCCAGGATGCACTGCTCCCAGCTTCCCCATCCCACTCAGAGCAGGGATAGAGCTCAGGTGTCCCGGCTCCTAGCCACACCCCTGCTCGCCTGCTCTCTAGTGGCATCACAGAGTTGTGCAGACAAGAAATGGTATTCACCCTTGAAGTGTGACTGCCCACAGCCCCATCTAACTTTAACACTGGCTAACGTTCCTGAGATTTAGCATGGTCCAAGTGTAACGTGGAACTGTACCTCACATGCAAGCAGTGTAGCACGTGTTAACTGCCCTCATGGTATTGCAAAGTTGTTCCTTTTCAGGCTAGGGTTATCTCTAACACATACTAACTTTAATAGGTCACAAAACTGTTGCAAGGTCTAAGTTGCATGCCCAAGTGCCTTCTCTTCAGTCGCATAGAAAGTTAGCTACAAAGCTAGGAAGGGAAGTCAATTTTTTTCCCAAACCAATAGACATCACATCCTCATCATGCTGAGTTTATCCTCACAAGTAATCTTTTTTGTTGTCTGCTTTTAATCATTTGACATCTGCAAATTTATATCATGGTTGCATTTTCTTTTGCAAAATGATGATATAAGGAAGCATGCTTGCCTTCAAATGGGATGTTGAAAAGTGTTCAGCACTGATTGAATTCAACGCTGAAGCAATGATAAGGCTCCCATTGATTGCAGTGGGAACGGAGTTGGAGTAACACTGAATGCTTGTCTAGCTCCCACTCCCTGTATTTTCCTGGATGCATTTATTGGGCATGTTACAGCAGTTTGCCATATTTTTAGCTTTGTGAAGTTCCAATTAAATGCTCCCTCTTGCATATAGTTTGGGTGCTGTGATGAAGAGCTAATTCAGTGCCCTCTAATGATAATACATTTTTATTATATTCTTAAAAAGAGAGTCTTTAAAGAAATGCAAATACAGAAGCAGCCACTCACCTCCTGCTCTGGTTGTTCTCACATCTATGTGGTTGGGCCTGCTTGGTGTAACTGCGAACACAAAGACACCAGACACAAAGTTAGTGGTGAGGTCTAACGAGAGGGTTGGAACGTGACAAAAATAGTGCAGCCACAGAGTAATGGCGTGATGCTTAGAGTGGGGGGTACCCCAGCTGGTGTTGCCAGCTCCAGGGAAGTAATTTTAAAAACAAAAACCACATTGAAAGCTGAAGTGTTCTCTTGACAGCCTCAAAGCCCAGACTTTTGCTTAGAGCAGTAGTTCAGTAAATCCTTGGGTATATCTATACCACATTGGACCAGGCAAGGGAGCACTGCCATGGAAAAGCCCGTGCTGTGTCCTTCCTGCTCCATGCACACAGAGTGCCAAGAGACAACACAGCCATCCTTTGGCATGTGCCAGTGCTACTCTCTGTCTTGGGCATGCTGATGGGTGCACCACTGAGCATGCCTAGCACCACTTTGCCAGGGGGTTGTTCAGCTAGAATGTGGGAGATCTCAAAATAAGGGTGGCATCACACATTCAACTTAACACTTACTAAAAGTACAGTTAAAAAACAAGCAGACACACATTCAAGCAGTTTAGCACATGTTAAGTGTCCTTATGGCCTTGAAAAGCTGTTCCCTTTCAGGGGAGGTTAATTCCTAAACACCCAGGTATTGAATTTAATACCACTACATCCCAGTGATTTGCAACTGAATGTAACTTGTGACACCACCCTAAGGTGTGATACCACCCTAAAAACCTGGCTTACATTTCTGATCTTCTATGGAAATGTCTTAAGCATCCATTTATATTGGCATTCTCAGTTTGTTGGAGACGTTGTATAACTCTGGGGCTAGTTGCATGTTATTTTTGGGTGGCTCCTGGAGCTCTTAACCCCAGGCTTGTCTGTGTGTTAACACCTTCAAGTGACTTAAAGCACCTGTTATGTGCAGGGACCTACCCAAGTCACGATTACACAGATTTCACAGAAATTGCGAAATGGAGTGATCTCTATGAAATCTATGGAAATAAAAAACTTACTGAAAATAAAATGCTGGCTCCCCAGTGGATGGCTGTCACCCCTGTCCCTCATGGCTGATCAGCTGAGGGCTGTCTGTCATGCACCCCCCTCTCCACCAACCATCAGTGGTGCTGGGTGAAGGACAGCCCTCTCAGTCAATCAGTGGTGAGGGGACCAGGCAATATGATGGAAAGTCCTCTCCACCTCAGTCGTGGGTGGTGGGGCCACCATGGGCCCTCAGCCAATCAGAGGCATGCAAGGGCCCTGACCATGATAAGCCCTCGAAAATGGCAGCCAGCACCACGATCTGCCCACAAAATCAGGTGGTCGCCACCTTTCGTTGGGTAGACCCCTAGTTATGTGGCTCAAAGTTATGCCACTTCAGGGCAGAATTATTTCTTGATCCATATGACCCAGCTCCTGTTCATTAAAGTGTGGCCACTCCTATGGGCGACTGGTGCCACCTGAGTGAGGGGGGCACGTGCCCCTCCAGCAGCCAGTCAGCGATCAGAAGGAGCATTCCCCCATGGCCAATCGCACCGACCGGGAGGTCCCTACACAGCCAATCTTGCCGACTCAGGGGACGGTGCTCCCAGAAGTACCAGCAGCACTTCACCTGGCACCGCCAATCCCTGGCCAGCACGCCCACCTGCCCCCCCCTTGCTTGTCACCTAAGTGGGGAGCGCTGTCAGGGGGTGCACCAGCACTCTCAAGGTGTGCACATGCACCCTCGTACACCCCCTACACATCACCACTGGCCACTCCCCACAGTACACCACCCATGTGGAAGGTGTGACTGCAAGTTACCCTTAAGCCAATCATTGTGCAGCTCACAGTGTAACATGCAACAAGGCCCTAATTCATCATCCTTGGGGTAGATTTGCATTTAAACCTGCTTGATTTGCCATGCCAGGTGGTGCTGTGTTGAATCACACCACGCTCCTCCACATACGCTATCCCTTGAACTCAAAGCAGCATAGCTGTGCACACAGCTGAGAGAGAGAAGTTATTGCCCAGACTCAGGGCTACACAAAGGCTGCTACGCTGTTTCCAGTTCATGAGGCAGTGCTGTGTGTTACAACATGGCACTGCATAGCAAGCTATCTTAGCCATGGAGACCTTCCCAGAGCGAGCAACTGACTCCTAACCCAGCTGTGATTTCAGTCGCACAGCACCCACTCCTCAAAGAACCAGCCTTTGCCCGGAAAAAAAACATTCGCTTGCAAAGAAAATACTATCTTGCAAAGAAGTTGTTGCACTGTAGTACAACTGTGTAAAACAGGGCAATATTATACTCTGCACTCAGTCCTGTGTTGGATCACATGACCCTTAACAAGTTCGTATCTTTCCAGGATTCTTGGGGTTTTTGTTTAGTCAATGCACGAACCTTCTTCCATGGAGGTTGTTGTCAGCAGTGTTTTATCATTCCTGTGATGAAGAAACTCTGCAGAAATAAAAGAGTTCTCATTCCAAAGACACATTACAACCATGCAAACAGTCAGCACGTGGGCAAATAAATCAGCATCAAATTGATGTAGCATGGTGAGAGTCACTGGCAATGTTGCTGTGAGCAGATCCTGATTATTTCTTAACATTTCTATTGCTGCATTTGTGTAGTGATACTACTATGTTGCTGTCTGCACTGTGGGTGCAGACAGAAGGGCGGCTCCTGCTGTAATTGAGATCATTTTCTGCAAAGTGTTCTGATATACGTTACCCCGGACCATACAGAAGTTCACTGTTGGTTCCTGGGGGGGATCTAGCTGGGGCTGGGAGTCTGCAGCCAGGCTCCCACAGCAATGGCCATGGCTCTGCCAGTGCTCCCTGTTTCAGAATGGGAGGGGGAAAGGCAGTGGAAAGAGCTCATTCTTGGGGCTCCCCAGGCAGTGCTGAAGGGTGGGGTAGGTGAATTGCAGCCCCCCCACTTTGGTGGGGTGGGGGGAGCTGCAATACACCCTCCAGGGGGGCTGAAAACCCCCTGGGCTGAAAACCCCCACTCCCTTCCCCCTCCCATTCTGAAAACAGCAACAAGCTGGGAGCTCCACAGACACAAGCTACATTTTGAAATGTCTTTATCTGATATCTCGTGCAATGAGGGGTCAGATTTTTCACCAGTTGGTCATTTTTGAAGCTGTCCGCAGCTGTGCACTTGTGTTTGGCCACAGCTATTGACTGCCTTCTCTGGCCAGATCACATGAAAATAGTCACTTCTGTCTGCACCGCCTCTTTAGGTAAAAGAGCAGTATCAGCACGAGAACAAATGGCTACAAGCAAGTTATGAATAAATTCAGTCTGGAAATTGAAAGGAGGTTTCCATCTATCAGAGGTGTGAGGATTTGGAATGGTTTTCAAAGTAAAATAGCGGGGGCAAAAACTCTGAATTGCTTCCAGGTTAAATTTCGCAAGTGTATGGGAGGCATAAGGAGACAGGATAGGGAGTTCTCGATTCAATAATCAGCACAGGTGATACATAAATTCCCAACGCAATCCCCATCAAAGTAACTTTCCCGGTGTGATAGATGCCTGGCAAATCCCATGTCTCAGGGCAGTTGCTGGCTACTTGTAGGGGTCATGAACAGGGATCCTGGTTTTCTCTTATTAAAAAAAATCCCCAATTTTTGGATTAAAAAAACTAACCCAAATCCGTGATCAAAATGGAACACCACACACACACACACACACACACACACACACACACACACACATACTTGGCTACTTTTTTAATCCAAAAATTGGGGATTTTTTTT